TATAAGCATTCATATATAAGGTCCCTCAGTGTTATCAGCAGTTTTTGCATTGCTCAATAGCTAATTACCCTTCTCCATCCCCAGCTCCTCCTCTGTCAGTCAGGATTAAGCCTTCTGATTATCCTTTGAATCAGACTAATTCTAAAATGTGTACATACAATTAACAATAATTCAACAATAACAATAATTAAAGTTCAATTAATGAACTTTAACAATATCTGCAATACATTTATGTTGGTTCTGTTCTGTTTATAATTGTCAATCATCTTATATATATATATATATATATATATATATATATATACAGTATATCCCAGCAGTGATGAACTTCAGCCATTTGTTTTTGGACCATCAGATGTATGCTGTATGGGTGCTGTATGGTGTGCTTCATTATTGTATTTATTGATTGATTGATTTGTGTATTTGTTTTTTCTAGAGCTTTAAAGTTTAATGAGAAGAGGTAGGAAGGGTCTTAAGTTTAATAGTCTAATTTTAAAAACACTTGTGTTTTGGATCACAACAGACTTGTTTTCGTAGAGAACTGAGCCTTTTATTGAACAAATGACCTAAACCAACTAATGAGTCCATGAAGCTTTGAAGCCATTGATCTAGCCGTTTATGAATGACTATATTTACTGTAGAATTGTTCAACTGAAGACATGAAGTCCAGAGTCCAGAAGTCTGAGACCACTGGTGAATTACCCTTATTATTGGTTACCCTTTATTTTAGGGTGTCCTTATAACACTGTAAAAAGGTCACCAATTAGAAAACTGCTTTTTTTTTTTTTTTAAATTGCATGAAAAGCTTATTTAATAATATACATAAAATAATCAAACCACCAAATTCAGAGTCTCGGTGGCCTTTTAAGATAACTGAGGGACAACCCGAATCCAGTAGGTTCTTGTTTGCATTCCCAACTCTCAATACCATGCCAAGTAATACATGTAAAGGGGGAAACTCCTCCGGGGGCCAACCCGCAGTCGTGGCTGTAGCAAATGTGTGTCTCTTAAGTTTTTATAAGACGTAATTATCAACGCACGTTGGTTGCCCTGCAAAGTTTATGGCTATGAAACCATATCTCCAAATGAGCTTTGCAGTTTTCCAAATTCTTTCCTTTAATCTTGGCTGTTTTAGGGAAAAGTGGCAAAGAAGTGCCAGCCGTGCAAGATTGGGGCAAGATTGCTGTTTCTGCAGCAAAAATGAGGGTGAGAGAGTTTTTTGAGACTTCGAAAACGTTTTCCCTATCGAGGCTGAGACTGAAGGCTATGCCTCCCGTGATTCCACTTTCCACAGGTTTAATGGCCTGAGCACACGAGTGCAGTTTGGACTGAAGGAAAACGTGTTGTAAATACATCAACTAGACCAATATGAATAATCAGAATAAACAATTTGTCTGCCAAGTAGTATAGTTCATTAGCCTAACTGAAGTCTATTTACATTTGACAAGCTACGCAGCAACTTAAAATATTAATAAAGAATATGTGGTCACAGATCAGTTAATTGCGATTAAGACCGATATGAAAAGCACTGTTAATTGATTAGGTCCCTTACTATATACAGAGAAAAAAATTAATAAATCCAACAGGTCATTTGGAAGTGAAAAAGAACAATTGTACAAAATGGTTACATTGTAAGTGCACATACTGTAAAATAAAGTGAGTTCTGATTTGACTTGTTCTGCTCATTGGACAGTAAACTTGATTCATGTAAAATCACAGTTATGTTTAGAGTTCCTTCTGGTGAATCTGTCGCACCCAGTTAATTTTTGCAAAAAGAATGCAGTCTGTTCTTATAAATTTAGAGTTAGACCATGTTTTGTAATAATACAGTGGATCTGGACTTGTTCTTGCATTCAGACAACTTCTAGAACGCATTCATCAAATGACAGCCTGTGTCTGACCTAACTACATCACGTTAAGCCTGATTACAGTTGTTAGAAATTACTTGAAGAATTTACTCAATATATTTGAGAGTATTGAACTTGCATTTACAGTGCAAACCAAATTAACCTCTTATTAGAGAAATTATCCTAAAATAACAGGAGCAAAACAAATTGCTGTTGCTTCTCAAAGAGTATATAAAAGGCATTCAAATTCTCTCAGTTTTGAATGCAATAAATCACGGTCTTACAAATGACGTGACATACGGCTGAGCCTCAGTGCAGACCAGCATTATGCTGTGGTGTTTTGAAAAGCTCTGTCTGTGCCCCGATCCCCAGCCCCCTCATACTATTTCCCTTCAACTGCAATATGACACATGCATGTGCTCTACAGAGGTGGGGGGTCGTGTGCCATGACGTACATGGTCTGTCAGGGAACGTGTGTGTGTGTGTTCTGGACTGGCCTCTGCCCCATGCTGACATTCCCAGCCACCATCGATGAGCCCCAGATGTGGCAGCTGGTCCCGCCACCCTTAGGGTCAAGGGCAGAGGAAACCATGGCAAATTTGCCACCCACATCTTAGTCCGATGGTGAGATAAGGAAAGGGTGCTAAATGAGAACTGTGAAAGGTTGCATGTCGTGAGATGGAAGAGAAGGAAATGGGAAGTTTGAGAAAGAGATTATTTAAAGTACTAGAGGAAAAATGGAAGTGTGCACCTTCTTCGGGGTGCTTGATACCGATTGCCTGCTGGAAAAAAAAAAAAACAGCCCTAGCTGGTGTCCCTGTCTTAAAGAGCTGGTTAGGTTGGTCTATTTGATGGGTTTAGAGGGTTTTGGGGCACTTGTCAGCTGGACAGGATGGGAAGCCAGCCTGGTCAGTAAACTACCATAGGTTTTTTTTGTTTGTTTGTTTCTTTCAGTAAGGTTAACAAAAGACAGAAAAATGAATGTGTTCAAATGAGAGGGAAGGCACACGTTGAACAGGAAATGGCATGCAGGTCAATGACGGCTGGTTTTGATATGTGTCCGGTTCATGCTTGTAAAAGCTTCACAGGTAAGAGGCTCTGGAGAGACTAAGTTCTGCTCACACAAACACGTTTTGTTTTCATTAATTAGTAATACATGTCATTTCTGTCTGGAGAACTGCACTACACTACAAAAAGCTTGTTCTTCATCATTTTTTTTTCTTGTTAGCCAGCACACATATCTATACATCCTTACATTTGTTTTAGAAGCATGTAAGAAATACTGCTGCTGCACATATATCATATATGAAACAACCCCCATGTATAACATACAATAAATTACTCCATAGCATCTATACAGGTGGAGCTGGGGAAGGTGGAGGGTTTCTGAAGCGTGCTGCAACTGCTACAGCAAACTCTAGCCAAGTATTTGAATGCTGAGCTCTTATTGGCTCTGATGTGAAAATAAACCAATCAGCTGTGTCATGTGAATGATGATAATTATATCAGAACCTATTTAGAACCTATCGGCCTGCGCCATCTAGAGTTTCATGACAGAAATTTGTATTCTAATATGCACTGTCGTCCATGGAAGAACTGTATATCAGTCCATTCCTCCAGGTAACTGAAACCGACGCTAGTTATATGACTCTCGTATAACACTACAGACTCGCTGTCTCTTGTTTCATAATGCAAATTACACCGTCTTCCAGATGTTGATTGTAGTGAAGATTACTACAGTGAAATTAAATATTATTGTAATATCAGTTTCAGTGTTCATCTTGTAGCCAGGGCAATTGTTTTGTACACTGTGGTGGACTATGTTGTTTCATAGAAGAAGCTTTAAGATAATTTGTAATGGCAGTACTCCACTTACTTTACTGCAATTATTGCCATTCAAATTAGGAGCATAATCACACTAACTTAATCACAATATTCTGTTTACATTAGCTACAGTTTAAATCACATTATGAACAAGAAACCTGGTTGCAGTGTTCAAGGGAATCAACCTGTGAATGTCTCTGCAGTCAGATTTCATACTGAAGTGCCTCCACTTTGGCCTTGACTCAAACCCTCATCTGTTTTTAGGTACAAAAAGGCAGAATATTACTCCATAATCAATGTTTTGAATTAGAAAATCCACTTTGTTGTGCACCAAGATAAATTCGCATGTGAATTCATGTCATGAACAAATCAGTCTGTTCAGCCGCTGAGGCTAAGACAAATGGTTACGTGAATGCGCAAATGTGAACTGCACATATGGTCCTAGTTTTGAGCGACTGGAGATGCATTTTATCCTGAAAAGCAGCTGAGGCCCATCCCGAGGGAGGCCGCATTGCAGCAGCTGGTGTCAGTGATGCACTGCCAACTTTCAATTGTGACGTCAAGTGCCAAACAACATTCAAATTCTATTTTCAATCCCTCTAAGGGGCTCATCAATTTTTCAAGTCATTGCCAAGTCCAGACGTCATGACCAATGATGCAAGCTGTTGTTATGTTCTTAAAAATAAAGGATCTTTGTCGCAATCGATGCGCAGCTGAGGCCCATCCCGAGGGAGGCCGCATTGCAGCAGCTGGTGTCAGTGATGCACTGCCAACTTTCAATTGTGACGTCAAGTGCCAAACAACATTCAAATTCTATTTTCAATCCCTCTAAGGGGCTCATCAATTTTTCAAGTCATTGCCAAGTCCAGACGTCATAACCAATGATGCAAGCTGTTGTAATGTTCTTAAAAATAAAGGATCTTTGTTGGAATCGATGCATCTTTAACATCCATGAATCTTTCCATCCCATAAATAGTACAAAAAGGTTCTTCAGATTATTCAAATGTTATTCACATAAAGAAATAAAATGGTTATTTTAAGAACTGTTCACTGGAAGATTCTTTGGTCAACCAAAAATGGTCCTTTTATGGTCCAACACACTTGCCTGGAAGTTTCTAGCGAGTCTGAAGACCTTAATTAGCTTGTTCAGGTGGTTTTAATTAGGGTTGAAGCTGAATTCTGCAGGTCAGTGGCCTTCCAGAAACTGGTTTGGACACCCCTGTTTCGCTGGCATCACTGTGAAAACCCCTTGTGGGACCTTTATTTTAAGAGTCTACTCCAAACCTTTTGGTTTGTATGTTTTAACATGTGTTTCTTTTCTCCTTCAAGGTGATTCCGTTCCCCATGTCCTGTGACATCCGAAGAGAGTGCGCTTGCCGGGACCCCAACGCCTTGGAGAACCGAAAGGGCGAGCCCTTGCACTCACTTGGTTAAAACGCTCCACCAAGCTGGTGTGCGGACTGGGACAGGATGAGATATTCTTCCCAGAAATGCTGCTGCTTCACAGTTGTACCTCTCTTCTTATAGCTGTTCATCATTTCCATGTCCGAGTCTACCTGTTATATCTTACAGTACAGTCTTTTGGAAAAGGATCCCAATGCCAAGACCCCACAAAGGACCAAAGCTGGTTTGTGTATGCCATCTGTAGATCACTCACGACCCCTCCAAAAAATGAAGAAAAATGAAAGCAAGGCATCTCGAGGGAACTATTCTGATTTGACCAAAGCCAGAAAAAGTAGAATCAACTTTCCACTAAAATGCACTCTCTAATCCATTTAGGGGGCTTGATTTGTTTTAGTGTGTCTCAAATGTGACCTCAGTCGTCCCAGGAAGACGGTGCGTGGCGTTTCAACCCTCACCTGTGTCTCGTGTCCCTACGGAAGCAGACTGGGTTTCAAAACAAGGACGGTACGATTGGCTAGATAGCAATCACGGGCTGATTTTAAAGACTAATCAGCAATTATTGTAATGTTCCTGAAACGAAACAAATCTATCTAATATATATGCGCAATGGGGAATGGCTGCAGGTCCCGTCGCACACTATTTACGTTCTGTTACAAAATAATTGTGAATTGAGGTTTATTTAAAATGCACACCGATAGATCCGAGCATAAATATGGTAAGAATGAATTGGTTTCTTTAGCATGGCTGCTGTTGTTGCTGCTACGATTGCTGCTAATTAGTCAAACAACAGACAACAGGAATATGCAGGCCATGATCTAGTGTGTCGTCAGTCTGCCTTAACACTTACCTCTGATTAATATAACCATCAAGACCGAAGACCTCCCATTACAGCTCAGCCAGTGCTGAATTGTAACTCGTCTAGTCCGAATGCAAAACAGACACAAATTCCTGAATGTAGAGGTCATAAACCTTTTATTTTACGTAAATGCTTAGTTCACCCAAAAACTCTATCATTTACTCACCCTTTGTGTGTGTGTGTGTGTGTGTGTGTATGAAAATGCTTAAAAAATCATAAAATAAGCCCTTCATATCCATAAAATGACAGTTAAATTCAATAAAAGCATCATGAAAGTCTTCTGAAGCCACACAGGTCTTGTGTGATGAAGAGATTGAAATTAAATTGATTATTCACCGAAAATCTTTCCATCTGCTGCAGCTCCCGCATGTCATTCCTCAATCTACAAAACCCATGACATCAAAGTGTAGTATGACGTCCATATATTTCAATCTGAACGCAAACATGGAAGATATTTGTGTGCTCTGATGGAGGGGAAGATTTTCAGCAACTAAAAACAACTTAACCTTTGGCGGGTTCCTCACACAAACCCACCAGCTTCAGAAGACTGCATGAGTATTATGGACTACTGCTGTGGTACTTCTGCGGCGCTTTGCTTTATTACAGTGACCCTGATTATGTACTATGAATGGAGATGACAAATGGAGACTCTTACACAATCTTTCTAATCTCAGTGAATCTGTTGCCAGTCAAAAACGTTTTTAAGGGTAACTTACCGCACATGTGCCAACTTTTTAACCACTTGTATGTGATTTTGCCAAAAAAAAACTTAAAATAATTTAGCTTCAGCGTAATCAGAATGACTTTATATACGCAGAATGCTAATCTGAGTGAACGAGAGAAGAAGAAGAAAAAAATCACTTTAATCATTACTTTAAGAGATTGTTCACCCAAAATTGAAAATGTGCTGAAAATTACTCCCCTCAGGTCATCCAAGATGTCGATGAGTTTCTTTCTTCGTCAGATTTTGGAGAAATGTAGCATTGCATCACTTGCTGACCAATGGATCCTCTGCAGTGAATGGGTGCTCGTCTTTGTGTCGTACTTGTGGATTATTGTGATGTTTTTATCAGCTGTTTGGACTTTCATTCTGACAGCACCCATTCACTGCAGAGCATCCATTGGTCAGCAAGTGATGGAATGCTACATTTCTCCAAATCTGATGAAGAAACAAACTTAACTACATATTGGATGGCCTACAGTACATTTTCAGCAAATGTTTATTTTGGGGTGAACTATTCCTTAATGCATACAAAAAATAACTTAAACAGCCTATATAATTTATTTTATTAAAAACTGAATGGAAAACAGTTCTACGTTTTGTCCTCTTCTCCTCGAAGTGATTCATTTAGTACGATCGGGCCAAGGCTGAAGAAAATGTCTTTTTGAACATTGGCTGTTTTATTGGCATGGAAAATATGCAAAAAAATTAAGGATTATTTCACCTAATGTTTTACTAATTGACTTCACTTTGTGCAATTGTAGATATATGGTTTTTAAGGTATATGACATTTATGATTAAGCAAAAGAAAAAGAAACAATACCTGGAAGAAAGTCAGGCAACCATATCGTTTTTTTTGTTTGTTTTTTTTAAATATTGAGTCCTCATGTATGTGGCATAAAGATTTCTTGATCAGATGCCGAAGTCAATCGTTTATTTTATTGTGCTTGTAGTGTCACATGTGCAGTCATTTATATGTCTAAAGAAAATATTAAATGAAAAAGAACACTAATAAGAATAAAGTAATTATGTACTAATAGTCATTATTTGTATTAATGAACAAAAGTTTAAACTTCTAAAATCGCTGCTATCATTAGGCAGGACAATTTGGGATGGAATATGTGTTTGTAGTGGAATCAATAATGTTGGATTTTCTTTTTTTTACTGTGTGATATTATCATATGCCTCTGTGATTACTGATGATTATTGTGGTCCCACTTTCTTCATGTCTGTTTTTATTGTAAACAGCAGAGCAATGTGACATGTGGAAACATGTTATTGGATTGATATGTCCTGTCTGAACATATCTGAAACTGGCTTTAATATTTGTGTTTCTGAAATTGTGAAAATTAAGACTTTAAATGGGTCATTTATGTATGTATGTTTTTTTTTTCTTTCTTTTTTTTTTTCAGCCATCTTGTGAGTTAGGTTGAAGGATTCATTATCATTATTATTATTATTATTATTATTATGAAGAAGAAGAAGCAGAAGAAAACTATAGCACCCAAAGAAAAAAAAAGAAAGAAATAAAGAAATGAAAATAACTATACAATGCACACGAGTACAATATTATTATTATTATTATTATCATTATTATTAATAATGATAATAATAATAATAATAATAATAATAATTTGTTATTATTATTATTATTAATAAATATTTAGTTTGTTATATATTCTTGGGAGAACTAATGTATTAAGTTGCTATTACCTGAAATTATGTAACTGTACTCAAGGTAACAATAGTCAGCATTTATTGCCAAGATGGACAGCAAAAATTAGCACGGTCATCAAGTAACTTGCCAATTTCCTGACAGGTCGCGTGATTGGCAGGCCTGTCAACCAATGTTTTTTTTTTTTTTGTACCGGCCAAGTGCCTGATGTTTCCTTTTTAAGTCATTTTCTCACTCGTATTATATGTTTCTGATGGAGAAACATATAATACGTGTGGTATTATATGTTTCTCCATCACTATGTCCAAATCAGCAATCCAAAACACCAGAACCATTTCCGAGTGCAATTTAAATTGTTTTGCTTTGTTTTAGATATCTAAAAGCGTACAGGTCTAAAACTGTTTGTTGGCTTGTTAAATGAAGTTTTCAGTGGGCTGTTTAACACACTACTGTATGCACCATAGGATTTCTTGCTGTACCTTATGCCTGTAATGTTTGCTGCTTCCATATTTTGGTATGTTAGTGTTTCGCGTCTATTAACGACATATAAAACTGTACATAGTAGAACTATTTATTGAGAGTGTTATACTTTTGTAAGTTATATTTTTATTGTTTATGTAAGTTATTTGTACAATGGTCTTTAAATGTAAAAATATTGGTTATTGAGGCTCTTACACTATTTTTATGTTCTGTTTATTCGTTTGTCCATTCCTCCATTTGAAGAACAAAGACAATGCTTCAGAAAGATATTGGTTATTGAGGCTCTTACACTATTTTTATGTTCTGTTTATTCTTTTGTCCATTCCTCCATTTGAAGAACAAAGACAATGCTTCAGAAAGAAAAAAAAAAAAACAAGATTCAAGAAGACAATTCAAAGACTGAATGTCATTCAGTCACATCTCACAGTTTATATACTTCCTTAATGCAGTTGGGACACTAACTAAATGTTATAATAATATATATTGTTTGTTAATACAGTGCATTTATTCTGTGGCAGTCCCCACAAGAGAAGAGTGTGATCATGGTATATCTTGCAGTAGGTGAAATCACAGTTTTAATGTGCGTCTTTCCAATTTGTACCAAATATTTTGAATATCTCTTAAAATGCCCAAAATTCAGAGCTCACATGCATAGCATTGGACAGGTGCTGTTTTTGGCCTGCCAATATGTTTGTGCAGGTGTCAAAATATGGATGCGCACAGCAAAACATCAGTGTTCGTTGAGTCAGAGTTTCTTCCCCGCTCACTATTGGGAGTTTGCAAAGTCAACTTATATTTATTTGAAATGTTGGTCGGATGGTGGAAAAACTGTAAGAAAACAAACTAATGGAATTGTATCAATATCTTTATTACAGGTTCATATAAATGTCTTGAGCGGTTGTAAATAGTGTCGTAAAAAAGTGTACCAGTAAAATGCCTTGTATATTTAAAGAGTTCCATTAGACACAATGATGCATTTATGAAAGTTATTTAAATTTGAGAAATTCACATTGGTTACATCAGTTACATCAGCATCAAGACTTGTACTTCAAGTGTCCTTTAATTTGAGTCAGTCTTCTAAATTCTCTTGTCTTTGTGCCTGTTATTCAAAAACCCATTTGTGTTTGGTGATGCTGGCCATGTCTGCTCTTCACATTGCTAATAAATTATAAGCAAAATTCTGACCTCTGCTTGATTCATGCATATAATGTATTACTGTTTTTCAAGTCGAGGGGATTCCCAATCCAGTTTGTCACTAGTGTGGATAGAGTTCATGTCTTTCCAGCAAAATTGCAGTTTTGAATTTATTCACTGTTTCAATTGGTCAGCTGGTCTATCTGATCTCTCGACTCAAGAAACGAGATGTATTTTTTGGCACATACCACATTTACCTACATTATGCTGTGACATGCTTGTGTTTTTTTGATAACACTTTACAGTAAGGTTCCATAAGTTAACATTAGTTTACAATGCAATATCTAACACGAAATAATGATTAATAGTTTTACAGAATATATTATTCTAGCTTTATAGTAATTTATGTGTATACTAATACATATTTAACATTTACAGTGGTGTAAATTAGCATTTTAACATATGAACCAAGAATTAGCAATGAATAGTATTATATTTATAAATTAACATTACCCTAGATTAAACACTGTGATTGTTTTAATGCATTGTAGAATAGGATTCTAATGTTAACATTGAATCCTATTCTATAGTTTTACTGTTATTTTCATATCTTGGTGCTCTGGATTATTGCAAACATGCCTGATGTATCACGATTTGAAAAATGAATTAAAATGCTAAATGAGTAACTTTATTTCTCCGTCATGTATCGTGTATAAAGAAAGCGCCGGTAACTGTGCAGGGGTATCGTACACTTTTTGACCATTCCAGCATTTAGGGTTTGGATTGTGGATACTGAATTTAGATAGATTGTAAATTCAGTTTCATCCAAATTGGAAGAACATTTACTGCATGCAAAAAAAAAATAAAAAAATAAATCATGTTAGCAAACAGTATTGTTGGTTGCTGGTTGTTTTGTCTCTGCCTAATAGAACATCAGCAAGCCAATGCACTCCTGCATGCTTGTGACCATTATGATTACATTTATCCATTTAGTAATTTTTTATACATTCTAAATCACTCACAGGCAACTGCTTGTAGGCAGTAAGGCAGTAGACTGTAACATCAAAATGGCATCTGAACCATATTTTCAAACAGTTTTCAGTCCTACTGTCATCTCCAGCTACATCATCTCCATGGACCTCCTCAGAACTTCCTACAAGATTGAAAAATTCGCTCATTTACTTGGACAGACTCTTGTGTTTGTGTCACTGACCAATGACAAAGGTCATGTCAATGACTCGAAAAAACTGACAAGCCATTGTCCAGGGGTCCGTTTCCCAGACAATGACATAACTTGCTGCTTAACTACCATATGTCTTTTGCCAAAGATCCCTTGCTACCTAGCTCGTAGCTTACTTATAAGAGAACGTATTACCCGTGGCCAGGGAAATACAAAGATTCAAGTTATTAAAATATACAGAGATCACCGGCTCGCTGGACGACCGTTGATTTAAAGTGTAAACTATTAGATTTGAATTCAGTTTTAATCAGGTGGACCTCGAATTTTCAGATCCGAGTCCTTTCAAAACCTGAGGTAGAAATCGAATTAATGATTAATTCCCTTATAGAATTAATGACTTAAATTACAGTTAAGTCCCTACACATATTACATGCACTGTTGGAGAAACTAACTAGTTAGTCCGGATTGTTTCCTGAAAAACACAGCTCTTTAATTCTCTTAAGCTAAAAGACGTCAAATTAAATTTGT